GGTAAATACACAACTATCATCTATTCCGTACGAATATGGTATATTTCGGCGACGCTAGTCAGCGAAACTTCTGTTAAACCGTTCGATACGATGCGTGTTTGACGAAGTACTTTGATCAGGGATGGAAACGCGGGATTTTTATGGTGCAAAAGGTAATAAGACAAACGAAGTTACGGCCACATTTGTAGTTTATCGATACTTCGTTTCCCGCGCATGCGGACATTCCACCAGGATTGAATTATCGATACATGTCACCTGACACGTTGACTATCGGCAGGGAGGTGGCACCTCATTCTCCTCTTTTCAATAAAGCGACTTTATCGGCCAGATAAATATTATTAGCCAATAAGCACACGCTGTCATACTCGATACCTCATCGTACAGTATTTCCGTTACTCGACCTCTAAAAATCTTATAACCAAAAGTTACATCTCCTTTTTATTTTAATAAAAAAAAAAATAACGAAGTATTCTTTATTCTGATATAAAAAAAAAAATGTTTTATATATATAACGCTGTAATTTCGAAAATGTACGTGTGCCATTTTTGCAATCTTATTGTTCCATATGCCATATAAAAGCGATGCTACATTCGCCACAAAAAAATAAAATACGATGTCATTATTCAGAAATTGAGATCTGGGCTATGTAAACGTGCAGGGCCCGTCCATGTTACATTTCATCGGCGAGATACAGAGAAAGCGGGAGAAAGAGCAAGCGGAGTTACATGAATAAAATGCCAGGAATGAAAAATAAAACGGAGGCGAGTGACCCACATGACTGTCGCGCATACGTGTAAACACGGCGCGCCGGCATGGCACTCATGCGAAAGGGAACGACTTATTCCCTGAAAGCCTCGCCCAACGACAGTTCGGATGTGTGCAACCCCCGTTGGAGAAATCCTTGTTTTTTTTATTTTTCTTTTTTTTTTCGTCCATCCCCTTCCGCCCCCGCTTCCACCATTCGCTGTGCCTCGCGATCCGGCGTCCCGCGCGTGCTAAGAAAAGGGCGAGAAAATAGGTCCCGCACTCCTCCAGAGTGCCATTCAGTGCTGTAATTTATTCCAGTTTCATGAATCCCCTTTTGCAACTCCCCCCTCGCCGCCCCTCGCCGTCCCGCGCGTCCCGTCGTCCTTTTCACTTCTGCCGTTCTTTATCAGAGACTGCTCTCCGCGCCCGTTAATCCGAGTTACCTCCCTTTCTCGGCTTTTCTTTCTACACCGTCTATAACCAACCCCCATCGTCCTTCACCCTTCGTCGTAAACGCTGCCTTGCGCGTGCTCTCTAATTTATCTTGTCAAGCTTTCATTTCGTCCATTACGGACTTCTTTCAAGCTGTGCGAGTACTTGTTGCACAGGTACGATTGATATTATGAATTCCGCGTTACTCTCTTAAAAAGTATGCCGCGCCGAGGAGAAGTAGATGCGCCAGGATCCTTTAGCGCAAAATATCGTTGTCGTCGTCGCGGGGAGTCGACAGGAGGCGGCGAGAGTCAAGTTTGACGATCTCTTTCTTAGGTCTCTTAGCGAGCGTGTAAATCTGAATCGAGATATTCCGGCACCAGCCGGTACACCGTGCAATAACTCTCGGCTTCGTAATATCGAGCGTGGCGGCGCGCGGCACTCTCTATACGCGCCACCCGGGGAGAATAATATTGAAATCACACGGGGTTGCACGTCGTCGTCATCGCCGTCGGGGTCGTCGCCGTCGGTAGTCGTCGCCGCCGCAAGTAGGCCAGCAGCTCGAAATAGAAACCGTCAACTGGGGCAGTCAATGCCGCCCAACGTAAGACACCATTCGTCTCGCACGTTCGCGACTTTTCCGCACCGACTTTTCCATACACACACGTACTCTCTCTCTCTCGAGGGAGAAGGATTGCCGCCTGTCAAACGCGGGATATCGCCACGTTGCTCTGTGTGCCAAACGCGGCGATCTACGTCTCCAAAAGCGATTTTCCGCTGCAGCGACGAATGTCCGTCGGTGACGGCGGGATTTATGCGGGACCAAGACTTACGATTCCGTCGACTGCCGTTCCACGCTAGTGGTTTACGTGCTTCGCAAACCGCATTCAGCGTGATCGTCGTTATCGTGGAGCCCTTTGCGAATCGATCGCAAGACACGATCTAATCAATTCACGTCACTGGAACTTCGTTAGTGACGGTAAAATTTTGCTGCGCTGAGTTTTCAGTTTTCTTTTCGGAAATTTTATCTCTATAACTTCACTGATGATATACTACAAATCCAAGTGTATAATATTTCATGTATGTGTGATTTACTCTTTCTCACATTTCAACGAAGAAACAGTTTTAGTTTATTTTAATATATAGATCTCTCAGTATAACGTAGAAAGGAGAATAGTTTTTACTTTTAATATTTATTGTTTACTGTGGGTTCAATATGATGTGACTTCATGATTGATCTTTATCTTTATTTATATTATATTTTGTTATCGACTCTTTCCAACGTTTTAATTATTAAGAATTTCATGTATTCAATGTATTTTTCCAAACTATTAATTTATTTTAAATTGTAATTTACTTGAAAAACACTTACAATTAGTAACTAAAACATTTCATGTATTTTATATTATTAAATAAGTTTTAATCCCTTTTTTTGACGGGTAAAAAAGAAGTTTTATTCTTATCTTTGACCCAATTAATCGTTTGATGTTTCTACCAATTTTATTATATTTGCGTTGCAATTCTGAGCTCCGAAGACCGATATTATTGTATGTAATTTAATTTTTCAAAGATAACACTATATTGTATGTTTAAATGTGTAAATTTACTTTTGTATGCAGTATAGTAAGTTACATTTACAAGGAAGACTAAATCATTTATGCATATGAACTCACTTATATGACACACTTGACGCAATATGCAGTGTAGCTATCAATCAAATCCAAGATCATTGAGTCTTGTTACGTCATAATCGTTGCAATTTTGTCGTTAACTACCGCACGTGACGAATACCGTCATGTGAAACCGAATGTTTCGACAAATCACGACTCATGATTGAAGATCTAATTAAATCTATGTGCCTACCTCTCTGTATGAAATATCGCGTGCGCACAAGCATAAGAGGGTAGGAGGATGGCGATTTTATTTCGTTGGATCTCTCGCGCATCGTTGTACGGATTAAATGTCTTGAAGCGAATGCATTAATACGAGCGATAACGCAGCGGATTTTAATGCAGCCGTTTACATGGGCCGTTTTAGCTCCGGAGGCTCGCTCAAATATACGTGCTTACTAGCAGTTTTAGCATCCGGCTTAACAGGACGTAATTTTCCGCAACGGCGACGTAATGAGGCGTATATAAAACGACACTAACCCCGTACGCTCATCATATCGTTCGTATATTCCCTTTATGATGAGGCGACATCGCTAAACTCATACTGCTAAAAATAAACGGTAATGCGCGGTCCCCTCGTAACCTAAATTGTGATTAAGACTCGAAGGAAATATTTAGAGTATAACGCTTTCAGCTTTAGTGATTGCCTAATTCTCATTTCTATCAGATGTAGATTAACTTCAATCTCGGTCAACTTACTCTTTATTTTTTCTAGTTCTAAGAATTAGAAAAAATAAAGTTGAACTCTCTAAAACTTTTAAAGTGACTTTCACTCAGAAGAGTGAAATCTCACTCTTACAAATTGAACCGTGAGTCAATTTTCACTCTTTAAAGTGAGATTTCACTCCAAAGAATTTAGAGAATAAATTAAAGTTAATCTGTATATTAGTGGAAACAGGCATAAAACGACGTTATTAATATATGAAATTTATATTTTCGTTGTAGTTATGGATATTGCTAAGCAATTTATCTGCATGGCTAAAATCTTATAAAACTTTAGAAATAAAATACTCGTAATATATCATGCTTTATTTCTGTGTACTAATCTCTTTGTGTGTTCAAAAATATAAACATTTTGCACATATCCATCCTTTGAGAAGTGCCGATGATCACCAACATTCAAATATAAATAATCCAATAATACATGTGCGTAACATTCATATATTGTAACTTTCAACGATTATTGGACGCTCATCATATTTTCATTAACGTAACTTACTTAATGTCTCTTGAAAATTAAAAGCACGATTGCACTGTCTGCTCTATCTCTTATCGCACCTCGGGTGCGCTCACTTGCAAAAGCGAACAATTGTTCCTGCACATTCTTGCACCTTTTCTGCTATCTTTCAGAAGCACTGTGAATCTCTATTCTCGTTACAATACGTAAATAATATATCGCGGAAACTTCTAATTATTTCCTCAAAGTTGAACTTCGACACTTCGAATTACTACTCATCGTTATTCTTCCGCATTTTCCATTTCTACGAAAAAAAAGTGCACGAGTATCTGAAGCGATTAATGCATGCACATCTGGCATGTATCGAGTGTATGCAGAAACCATTCGATCTTTTACGACGTCATCCATACCCAATCATATCGAAACATTTTTTAAAAATGCGCGGACATGTGGAGACGTCGTGATCGCCTGTTGTTCTCATGTCACGTCTTGCCTCCCTTGCGTGAGGAGCAAGCGATCCCCAGGCGTTCGAGGATAACGCCCGTGGATCGTTTTACTCGTCAGACATGCTGCATCCTTTGTCTCATCATTTATCATCTCATGATTCACGGCCGGTGCGAGTGAGTAACGAGGTTTAGTCGCGTATAGAGGAAAGAGGCTCCTGAATAATAGAGCACATCCTGACCCGCCCCGTTAGCGGTATTAAAACTTCATTTCGGTCACCTTGCAAAAATGATGAAATCGTTAGAAAAGATTTCTCGGAAATCTGCCGAGATAAAAGTTCTACAGCATACCTATAACGCGAATATGATCTGAAATATTGTCAAGCAAGTGTCCGATATGAGTTATTAAATTCCCTGCTAATGAATTAATCTCACATTTGATTTAAAATAAAATTGGACAAATGCTCGCATCGGCTTTATACTCGTTCATTACGATCCCTCGTTTATGTTGAGTGTTGGTGTTGGTGCAAGGGGCAGGAGACACCGATATACATATGGTACGAGTCGTACCCGACCCACAGTGGCGAAGGATACGAGGGTCGTGTCTCGAGGGTGAGCGAGAATTCACCGTACGGCCAGGCGAGCCTCAATCTGACGAATATCCGCGAGAGCGATCAAGGATGGTACAAGTGCAAGGTCGTCTTCCTCAACAGGTCGCCCAACAGTCACAAGAACGGTACCTGGTTTCATCTAGACGTCCACGGTAAGTAATCTCACGAATTCTCACGTGTTTTTTCTAGCTCAAACGGTTACAAATGCAACTTGCGACAGCAAGTGTCTTTACTATTCGGGATTAACATGAAACGCGGGACGACGCAATCTTTTCTTCTTAGGCGACACATTTGAGTTCGCATCGCTGTGAAAGGAGCAGTGGAAAGTACAAATGTTACAAAAAGTACAAAGTTGCTTTCGAGTTATATGGAACTTGATGAAAAAAAGAACTTGGTATTCACGTAAAGTTGTCTACTAGTAATAAAAGTTATATCCGCTATGTGCTAAACGCGCTCTTAGCCGGAGCTTTTATGTCCAGCTTATATAACATGAAATTACGTTATTTCTGCTTCGAATAGCCTCGTTAATATCACTTTGAACTTAAGAAGATTTTACGACTTCGGCTAATGCAGTTTTATAACACTTGCAGGAAGTTAACCGCGTAAGTTAGGGCCACGTTTGAATAATTCGGTAAATTTGCAAGTTTTCATAATTTCGTTGGAAAAGAGAAGTACATATATAATATACGAAAAATGTACCTTCAAGCATTTTGTATAATTATTATATATTATTTTATTATTACATTAATCTTAACAATATTTTACCAACGTTGTTAATATTTTTAACAAAATTAATAATATGAGTTACGTATGTTTCTCTGTTTCATTTATTACTAATAATAATTTTATTAAAATAAATTAAATTAATAATATTTGTGATTCAAGAATAAATCCAATACAAGTAAAATACCTATATATGAGGTTCCGCGGTTGGTGGTGCGTAAATTATATGTATTCATAATGTGATATAATTCGCAACTAATTAGGACGTACTTATCAAATGAAATTAAAGTAAATGTAAACATTTCAACTCCAAATTTGAGTCAGTGGGGAAGTCAAGTACAAACTACCAATCATTCATACCTGACTTCCACTCTGAAGAGGACTTTAATCCAAAGTCGAGAAATGCTCGCATTTACTTTCACTTTGTTCGATAAGTACATCCTAATTAGTTGCAAATTGTATCTTATCGTGTTATAGATATATATAATTTATGCACTAACAACCGCGGAGACTCACGTAGGTATTTTATTTACCTTTCTGGATTTATATTTTTGAAATCACAAATATGCGCTGTATCAATTTATTTTAATAAAATCAGTAATAAATGAAACACAGAAAAACATATATTGGGTATTTTATTACTTGTTTGTCGAACATAAAATTCTCTAAATTTATTTACCTACATTCACAAATAAGAAATACGTGTATATGTTAACGCTTGATAATGAAAATTGATCTCGTCGAGAAATACGCATCGATCGGGGGAAAGAAATGCGCGTTCGCGCATTGTTGGAGACACATGAAATTCCGGAATATCCTCCTTTTGCACTTGGTTAAACACATCAACTAGTATAGTATATGAAAATATTCCTCTTTCTGTCGCTCGCGCGTTCCTTCTCATCTCAGCCGCATCTTCCGAGCTTACCTCGTCGACGTGACTTCCTGTCGGAAGAAGGAAAGCACGCGGATCATAAAAGACGCTTCAGAAAGACGCCGCCACCGCCGCGCGCTGCTGCTGCTGCTGCTGCTGCTGGTTCTCCGATGCATCTCGATGCGAATTGTACATTCAGCAAACACTGTACAACCACGCCCCGTCGTGCTCCCGTTCCCGAAGTTCCGTGCGTCGTGGAAGAAGTTATGTTTCTTGCTTGCTCAGCGCGCAGCTCGAACTTACATCTTCTTCCGGAGTTCTTCGCCGTGTCCTTCATCGCTTCGACGAAGTCTCCCGAGAGACGGCGTGCCTGCTTACGGCGAATAAAATGGAAAGGAGGATTGCAAAAAGATTGTGTTACTGGACGGGAAATGAGAGAGAGAGAGAGAGAGAGAGAGAGAGGAGGGGACAAGGAGGGGAGAAGAAAAATGAAGAAAAATGAAGAAAAATGAAGAAAAACGATGAGAGAAAGGAGGAAGAAACTTATTGCCGCGTTTTGCTCTGCTATAAACGACGACGAAGGGCCGGAGGGAAGAGGAACATTTAGATGGCTTGGAGAGGATGTGTCGCGCGTTGTTCTATTTTCTCCTCGTCACACCTCATCCACCCTTTTCCCCGTCAGTCCGCTCCGTTTATTCCCAATTTCTCCGTTGTTCTCTGTCACCCTCAACAATAACAACAACGAAGGCGACGACGATAGACGGCGGCAATGACGATAGACCCGCAAACCGCATCAAAGGGAAAAATTACTCGGGGCACCCAGAAGACGCTTAAGATTCTTTTATACTTTGTAGTCGGCTCCATTCGGTCGCTTGCTCGCGTTAAAGTCATAAACCGTCGTATCCCATCGCGTCACCTCACTCCTTTTTCTTTTTCCGCTTTCCCCATCTCCGCTACTGTATCTTCCGAAGCGTCGCTCTCGAAATTAAAATTCTTCGTCTACGAATAACGACGAACGCAAGCAGACGGCGTATAGCAGAGCGCAATATCCCGGAAAAACAGAAAACAGAGAGAGAGAGAGAGAGAGAGAGGGGGGGAGCAGCCCCGAATAGCAATTCGAAAGAAATTCTACGTGAAGCTTCTGCAGAAATATTTACTTGAGCCCTTTCCGATTCTACGGGATTTCTTGCGCGTACGTCATTAAAATTTTTCCAACGGAACAATTCTGTCTTTGGGGAAGAACGGGAATATCGCTCAGAGGATGGTTTTCGTAACCATCACGCTGTGGGAAAATTTGCATTATTTCAATCACCCGTTTTTCCTCGTTTTCCATTCTCGACCGCGCTCCCGTTTTCCCTCGTCCGAAATTGTCGATCCTATATATACACGGTACGTCTTAAGACGAGAGAAAACAGTCTACTCTTTGCGTCACCGTTCGGTCGCGGGAGCGATGGGCAGCGACGAACCATTGTGATTTCTCCAGGATGAAAAGAGAACGGGCGATAAAAACGCGGACGGAACTTCTCGAGGAACATTTTCTAAACGTCCACCTCCTCTCCTCGGACTTGATTGTTCTTCTAACGTCATTTACCCGCGGCCATTTTCTGTCGTGAAAGTGCCAAGCGTCGTCCTCACTTACAAAAAGATAAACGGCTTACATTTTTTTTGCGAAGCTTCGTTCTGTGAGAACTGCGTTACTGGGTCGTAAAAATAATCGAGAATGCGGATGATGATTTTACTCGAGTTATATAGAGATCAGTCGGTTTGCACGGCGCTCTGTAGAGTTCACATTGTAATCATACAACGTAATAAGATATAGTTGTGTTGAATCATATCTAATCACTTGAAATTCGCCTCTATTGTTCACAGCGCCACCCAGATTCAGCATAACGCCGGATGATATGATATATGTGAATCTGGGCGATGCGATAATACTCAACTGCCAGGCTGAGGGTACCCCGACGCCAGAGATCCTTTGGTACAAGGACGCGAATCCGGTTGAGCCCAACGGCCGAGACGTCGGGATATTCAACGACGGCACGGAGCTCAGGCTCTCGACGATCAAGAACGACGACATCGGCGATTACACCTGCATCGCCAGGAACGGGGAGGGCCAGATTAGCCATACCGCGCGCGTCATCATCGCCGGTGAGACTTTTCATTCAGCTTTTGTTGGAATGTTAGGGAAAATCTTAGTCGCGCGCGCGGGACTGCAATTTCGTCACGAAGTTGAGCAATAAATTATCCGTTCGGGAGCAGCGAAAGACACGATTACGTTCGACAGCAACCGAGCCTTATCGAGTGTGAGAGATAAAACTTTTTTAATTTAAGTCTTACTGTCATTCAGAAATATATTTGCCCAGCGAAGATCTGTGGAAATAGAGCGCCAGGCACAAGGATGGGTATATTGCGAGATTATAAAAATTTCCATGTCTTTAAATCAAGTTTAAACTTATCATGATAAAATCGTAATGTAATAAATAAATTTGCATGTTTATCCATGTATACGCTTCGGTAATAATAATCTCCTCTTCATTATATTTTTAATTTCTTGAAAATATTTCCGTCTCTCGGAAGTCACGTATTCGACGCATTCTCGTTTGGAAGATCTCTAATTTCTGAAAAATCCCTCTTAAAATTCCCAACGTGATTTTATCAATGCGAGTCACGAGTGGCGTCTATCCCGCGGTTTTGCCGCGGCGAATAACAATTGCTTTTTTTCCGTCGGCCCGGCTAATATCTCGCAGAAAATGTTAGCGTGCGCGCTGTTAAGTATTACTGGCTGACAGCAGCGTGTTACCAGCCACTGCAGTGCGGCCGCTTAATCCACTCGGTCCGGCAGCTGCGACAAAAACCATCATAGCGGCTTTCGTTTTTCGTTTTAGAGTCTCGTGTTAAACGAGCGAGTATACCGCAATATCGCGCATGGGGGGGTGTGATGATTGGAATAATTATCCCTTAATACACACGATTGGATCGTATCCTACATATTTTTTTTTCTTTGAAATACTACACTGAACCAAAACTGTACGTAAATACAATAAAATATTCCTTTAATTAATAAAAATTGGTCCAATGAACTCTTAAATTACAAAACTATTACTAGAATTATGCAACAATGAATATATATAATTATATAAATGAATTCAATTATTGTATGAATGAATAAATTGGACATTAATTAATGTAAATAACATTAATAAGTCGAACATTGATTAATAATGATCATTCATTGGACCAAAATTTTTTTCAGTGTAGGAGCATTTGGTTAAACAATAAATTCTGTCATTTCCTTTTTTTTTTAAATATATAATTTTATAAATTATTTTCTGAAGATGTTAAAGTATACAGATGTGAAAAATACTTAATAATTGTTTTAGACCTTTAAAAGTAGTAAAAATTAACTTTGGGACACGAATGATCCATCGTGTGTAGTAAAGGACAGGAATATCATTTGTCTGTACCAAGAATTAAACAATCGTGGCGTTTACTTATCTCGATTGATCTTAGAAATATCTTAATCGATCGCTTGTCCGTCATAACCGTCAATTTTATCGCTACGTGAATGCTTACCGATTCAGAAAGATAGGACCACGTCTGTAGATTGTCAGTCTATTAAATACTTGTTTTGTTCTGGCAATTAAATGCCTATTTTTCATAGCCATAAGTTAGATACGTAATTAAAATATAATTAAGGAATATTTCATAAAAGTTTCGCCTCTATCCGGCGAAGGAAACGGGTGGAACTCGGGGGCACCTAGGTATATAACGGCAGTAAACTAATTAAAGAAGAAGATACTTTGTACCGAAGCTAATAAGAAAGCGAGTTTTTTTTTTAACTTTTTTCTTTTATCGAACATAAATATAAAGTCGATTGATTAGTTTGCCGACAACGAGAAGCTGCGGCATACTTTCTTCTTAAAACTAATTTAATATGGAACGCGTGGTGTATGTATATATTTATATAAGTATGTGTATAAGTACATATATATATATATATACTATATGTTTATATATAGTAAGCGCGCTTTAATATACTTCCGAAAATTGCCTCGACATGGCAGCGCGATTAATTATCCGCGATCGGCACCCGAAGAGAATAATGCAAAATACGGCTGCCTGCCAGACCGATAATTAATAAACAGCAAACTGCCGTAGTAATTATCGAACGCGCCGTTATCAGAAACAGATATCCCTCGGTAATCAGCGATCAGCTGAACACCGGTAATGCAATTCCAATAACCTGCATGCTAGAAAATATCTTAAACCAAACGCGGTTGGTTCTCTCTCCGCTAGTTTTGTTATTTATCGATCGGTTTGTAAGCTGTTCTCTTTCTCTCAACATACACACAAACTCACTCGCTCTCCTACTTCAATTTTGCTCGATGCGCAATCGAAAACGAATTCTCACGGGCAGGTAGCTCTCCAGTCGATCGCATCTTCACGATACATACGATAAATTTGACGTACTCCACGCAAGCTTCAAACGGAATAACAAACGGCCCTCTCACAAACGATTTCGCAAAAGTTTTCATAGTCATCCCATGGGAGATACGTCGAGATCTGAAATATCATGGCGAGTCCAGCGTCACCTTTGATTTTCAAGTATCAAAATACTCGTAAAACTGACCGGTCTGCGATTTTGAACAGCATGCTTACAGCTTCCATTAATTACAATCACTTCGATGCCAAGTGCCTACAAGATACGATAAGTCTGATAAATAAGTCTTTGCTTCCAACAAGCTAATGCGCATGAAACGAAACAATTAAAGATTTACGCGTAGATCTTATTATCTCCGGTTTAATTAACTCGATCCATCGTCCTTCTCGTTCCCTTTGCAAGTGCTTCGTTCTTGACGTCCATTATGAAGAGGGTTTTCACCGTGCGGCATGATGTAATTTAATCGAAAAGAGTACACAATAATCCCGGTTTAATTTGCGCTTAATTAGGTCTTTATCCGTAACATCCGTAATATATAGTCTTGTAAACAGTGGATTTCTTTGAACACTAAAGAAGTATCTACCAAGCGGTCATTATTGACCATTTTTATTTTTAGATTAATATTATATCGTTTGCATAAAAGGTAGGATGAAATTTTTCGATTCTCTTCAGTAATTAAATCCTTTATACTGATAAAATATTTGGTTTTTTCTTATTTTCTTAATTTTCATAATAATTTATTTGCTCGGTCCTTCAATGTTAAAGACATTAAAAGAGCAATGATAACCCATTCCTTTGAGTTAAATATGATATTTTATTATTTTTAATTTTTATGTACGTTAAAATGTAAATAAATATATTCCTGGTTAATTTTAAAGTAAACATTGTCCATGTTAACATACGATTTAATAAATAATAAATTAAATTTTTGAGTAAAATTTAATACATTTTCATGAATTAAATTGTTTAAAATAACATTAATACAAACAAGCTCGTGTTACTAATAACAATTAATGTAACAAGTAAGACCAAGAATTTAAAACCAGCAAAATTTTATTTAAAAAAATATGTACTGTTTTTTAAACCAACACACATGAACAAAATTAATATCGAAAAACCGAGCATTACGGGTAGTACAGAACCCTTTATCAGTAATATAAAATAATTATTACAAATCATTCAAACAATAATTTCACATAATAAAATATGAAGGCAAATATTGTACATAACTTACCCATCTCAAATTACGAGCCAAGAGAACATATCCATGCTAATTAGAACACATACATTATTTTAGTCAAATTAATGATATATTAGAGCTGTGGCGAGATCTATAGAAACGATTAAAAATAATTTATTGGATAAAATAATATATTAGAGATATAATTCAACATTATGGATTTAACAGGGTTTTTTATCGAGTAAGTAATATTTCTAGTGTTCAAAAAATGGTACCTGACACCGCGTGTGATTTAGATTCTCTATATAACGTATAACGAAGAGTTTATAATATGAGAGAGAGAGGAAGATATATATGAGAGGAAAAGAGAGACTTCCACTCTCGCAGTTTCATCGATGATCTCTTTTCCTCATATCCGATGGATGACTCAGATAATCATGTATGCGGACAGGTGTTTGTCGTTTTACGTCATAGCTTCGCGATCAAGCTCAGAAAAAGATAAGGGAAGTCGCAATCTCGTCTCCGTGCATGATCGTACGACCGTTTCAACGTCCGTTTCTCCCTGGAGAACGAAAACGTTTACCCGTGATCGAAGGCGCGGGAATGCTGATGCATCCATAAAGCGCAGACACGGCATACGGGATATATACTGCAGCGTTTCTCCCCCGTAAATTTTACGAGCCGATACATTTACTCATATCGATACGTTCAGCTCTCCGTGATAAAACTCGCGTTAGGCAAAGTGGTTACAGCGAGCTATCGGGCGTCGCTCGTTCCGCCGACCAATTAAGGCTATTCCCATGCCGGAGAAGGGAGGGAGGGTTAAAAGGCGATTTGTCTTGTTTTTCCAACAGCCAACAGCCACTTTTCGCCTCCGAACCGCCTTCTTGTTCCATTTCGCTTTTCCTCCATCCCCTTTTTTCCAACGCGCCATCGCGCCATCGTCCGTTCTTGCCCCGCAACCACTGCAAATTTGTAAGCCGCGCCAACGGCAAGCCATCGCCGCGTTAGGACATCCGTCTTCATCATCGTATTGTCTTACCGTCTCGCGCGCCTTTTGTTTTCACGCTCGTTCACAGGCTCGGCAGCGAGATGGTTATTTAATGGATTGAGAAATGGCGCGGATGTCGCTGGCTAGACACGACGGCAAGATCGTAAAATTTGCCCGCGCGCGGAGAATAAAATTAGATGAATGCTCTCATACTGTAGAAACCATATAGCGATGAACCATTAAAAGATGAACAATATGAGAACAAACTGTACATCAAATTACATTTCTTCTATGCATTTTTTATTTCATTCGCGACAAATATTTAAGTGTACATATAACAAATGTCTCGTATATACAGGGTGTTCGAAAAATCGCCCGCAATACTTCAGGAAGTGATTCGGGACTCAAAAAGAAGGGAAAAAAGCTATGTGAACATAGATCCGCAAATAGGTCGTTTCCGAGTTATAACCACTTTTACGTTAAAAAATTAAAGTTTATTTTTTATATTTACATTCATAATTTATTTTTCATAGTGTTTTAACATAAATAACTACATGTTTTATATTTTTTAATTTTTGGATATTTGTAAATACGATTACTGCATCATTTTTAGAATTAACGATAAACATAGACAAGTATATTTAAATATAATAGAAATTAATTAAAATATTCATAAATGATCACCCTCACCATGAAGGCAGGCCCTTATTCTTCTATCAAAGGAATTCCAAACTGTTTGAAAAACACTCGGGTCCCTCCTTATTTCTTCGAATCCATGAATTATTCTTTGTCTTAAAATTTAAAAACAAAACATGTAGTTATTTATGTTAAAACACTATGAAATAAATTATGTAATTGTAATTATGAAAAATAAATTTCAACTTTTTAATATAAAACTCGGAAACGACTTATTTGCGGACCTATGTTCATATAGCTATTATTCTTTCTTTTGAGTCATTTCCCGAAGTATTGCGAACGATTTTCCGCAAGTATTTCTGGACACCCTGTATATGTAATCCAATTTTCTGTGTAAAAATAACACGTTTAAATGTGTAAATCTATTATATTTTTCTAGTACTATATTTTCACACCGAAAGCTAAATCATACAGGAAAAACACTTATTACAAATATTTGGATTTGCACGCAGTGTTTTGAGACGTATTCATTTCAGAATTATTGAAACGTCGATAAAAATACTATAAATTAAAGCAAAAAAACGCGCAAAACTACACGTAGACAATGAAAAAATTTTATTTATTATCTTTTTCATTCTAGAAAAAGGTGGGACACGTGTATCTTCGTATGATACATAATAAGTGCATTTCGCCAAGTTAAACGAAGTAGAGCGTTTAAAAGAGGACGAGAGAGTACGCCGGAAAGTAAACATTACAAAAATAAATCATTCTAAAATTTATTCTGCATCTCGACTACTGCTCCATTTGCTGAACTACCCTTCACGCTCGTATCCTTTGCGCTTCTCGCGGTACCACGTATTTGCAATGTGCAACGTGATGTAGCGCGACGCTACACCATCATAGCTGCGTACTTGGCATGAGAGAGTGCCCTTCTTCCTTTCTCTCCCTCTCTCTCTCTCTCTCTCTCTCTCTCTCTCTCTCTCTTCATCCCTCTGAATTTCATTGCCCCGGTTTGTCAAGATTTTCGTCTGGTTGGCAAACGTTGGAATTTGTCACCGTGACACTTCTCGCATCGGGAATGCAACGAAGCCGCGGGTATAAACGCAACGTAGTCGGTGATATAGCAGCACGGTGCGATAGTAGTTTAATAAACACTTTGCAAAAGTGTTTACGTGGTCTCTCACGCTACACGGGCTAACCAAGAATGGTGTCCGAAGCCTTCATGAATATCGACCATATATCGGTGGGAATTGCTGATCCAAGTTGGTAAAAACAACGTCGTTAACGATCGCGCGTTAATGTGCACTACGCGTGCAACTTTACGGTAACTGCACGCTCGAATGCGTGATTCTACGAGCGACTCGGAATTCCATTGCCCTCATTTGCTCCGAACTTTGCGAACTTTCTCCACCCTTTCCACAAAGTATCCTTCCCGTGCGCCCGCATGACGTACATAGCATATATCATCGTCGGCGCGCGAATAATTAAAATATATTCTGTTGATCGCGCCGTATATCGCACCCATCGCGTGAGAATGAAGAACAAAACTCGCAAAGCTCGCGAACGATGGGACAATAACGAGGAAGGAAGCTTCCAAGGAATCTCTGAAGTTAGCACAAAAAAAAAATTTTGGTTTTTTTGATATAAAAATGCGGAACATTTTTTTATTTCTATATGAAATTATATTAATCTATTTCACGGTATTTCGAAACATTCTTTTATTAGTCAATTTATAAAGTTCTTTCTTCTGATTGGTCAAACATTTGCTGCGTTGAGTGGATTGAACTCTGTAGAATAAAAAGTACTGCTGGAATTATAATTATTTTATTATAAAGAGAGCATAAAATCCCATGAAAGTTCTTATAATGAAAAAATATTCTTTATACAACCATCTTATAACAAAGGAATACAAATGTTTTGACTTGTTATTAAATCGTCTTTTCAGTATTATTCGTAATTTCAGAATTCTAATTCAGTTGAAACTATTGTACGTATATATGAAACAGTGTCAAAAATAAAACATATCTAATTGTAACTTATGTCGCTTACTTATTGCATATCATGTAAGTAAGAATAATTATTATAATTAGAATTAAAAAAATTGTGAATAACACCAAGGATGACCTCCTAATATTAAGGTTGAAACGTTCATATTCTTTTATGAGATGAGTGTATAAAGAATGTTTTCGTGCCATGAGAACTTACGTAGGCTTTTATACTCCCTTTATACAATATTGATTTATTCTCAAAGCTTTCGTATTCACTATATATGTGTAATTACGTTTTTACATTAATAAAACGTTAACTTGAAAGATCCATTTTCGAGGTATTTGAATCGAGTTTCTTCGGTGGCATACGAAGCGCTACGTTAATATGAAAGCGATTTGACACAACGGATACGTTCGATTTGATTGGTATTGACCATTGAGGTAAACACTTGTTCGTATGCGTGCCCAGGCATAAATGCAGCGAGGATTGCGCGAGGAAATACGACGGCTCGTTCTTTTTTCTCTCCCGGGCAACAAGTTCTCATTCCGCGCTCCGTGCGTTTATCAAGATCGTAGATTCAAATTTATTCCCGTCGTGCCGGTGCGGTATGCACCGCTGGCGCGCATTGTAACGCGTCTCTTCGGAGGTGCAACTGGATGCAATACATTGAGACATCGGGTGCGCGGAGCTTAGAATATCGTTGCTCCCATTTCTGCGGATTTTCGTCTGCGCATAGAACACGATATTTCTTGTGGCTTGGAGCTCCTCGGCTCTTACTCGGCCGTCACGTTTACTTCCGATCTCGGCAACCATATAATAATTCCGAGGTCGAAATTTCTGTCGTCGACATTCGCCGCTTCGTGTATCGCCAAAAAGCTATTCCGCAACCTCGAATTTGATTACATCGATATACTATACGAGGACGGTAAACACCGCAACAATTTGCCAAATGTTTAATTGTTCAAACGTTCGTCAATATATATTTGCAACATCGCAGCACTATAGACGTATCGCAGCATTCGTTTGCGTGTATAAATTTACACGTTGTTTGCGCGACACCTATACCCTGTTTACTTTACCAACTAGCAATCTCGAATTCGAGCGTGTATATGGATTTTGAATGTCACACGTCCGAAATTAAAATGTAAAAGCAGAAATGCGACGGAGATTGCAAACGGACGACGGTGTTTATTATCCGAACCATATAATTCACAATCGTAGAATTCGATGTATAAATATTGAACGGTAAACAAACGTTTTTCTCTCGTATATGGTAACTGCAGCGGATGCATCCAATCTCGTGTGATGCAATGAAAATAAAGAACTACTGCTCTATGGATTTCGTAGAGTTTCGATTTTATTATCGAGGTGCTTTTTCTTGCAGACCAATCACGCCTTTGAACATATAAATCCAAGTGTCGCTAATTCCTCGACAATTCTGCGTGTAGTACATTCGCTCGATCTCATCACGCTCTGAAGACCTCCTTTTCCCACCCGTTGTCTGGCAATACGCGGAGATGAAGTAAGCCCGTAATCCCACAACGAATGACGTTAGATCGGATTGCGGAAAATGCCGCGGAATCGCGAGAAGGTGGAGTTCGGTCTTTTGTGCGGCGGAGAATCGATCTTCCGCTATAATACGGCGAAATATTCGCTTCTGAAGCGAAACCGCAAGTTTTGAAATTCTTCAGGCGTGAATACGAAGCGCGAGACGGTCTGTGGGCGTGGACGACGTTTGGATATCGATGAAGATATAATGCACCCTGTTGAGCGCCTTTCCTGCAAACTCGAAGGCGCAGAAATCGTGGAGGCGAATGGCAAATTCGTAGCTACACGCGCGCTCAGTCGATGCTTGTATCCTCTTCGCTTGTATCCATTCGTCGTGACTCTTTTTATACTGACTAGCGCGAGAGAGACATTATCGAGAATCGATCGAGATGCTATAGCGCTCTGTTTCTCTCCCTTGACGGCGAGTCAGATGCACCGCGTGCTATCATCTCTTCCGGGATATCCTTGACAACGAGACAAGCAATATCAGCGGTCAATCGGTCACCGCAGATCCTGAATACAATAGATACTACTACAAGAATACATCGCGGTTGCGTTCGGTTTCGGTAACCGTAATCGATATTTCGTCTCTTTGACATCTCGGTTTGTGGCTGACGCTATATGTAATAAGAATCGTGCGTTTGATTGATTTACAGGTGGGGCCGTTATTATGGTGCCGCCGACGAATCAAACGAAGCTAGAAGGTGAGAAGGTGCAATTTTCTTGCGAGGCAAAGGCACTTCCGGGTAACGTGACAGTGCGCTGGTTTCGCGAAGGCGCACCTGTCACAGAGGTCTCGGCTCTGGATACCAGAGTGTCCATCAAGATGGATGGTAGTCTGGTTATCAACCCCGTCAGTGCCGATGATTCCGGTCAATATCTGTGCGAGGTCACTAATGGCATCGGCGACCCTCAGACTGCTAGCGCCTATCTAAACGTCGAATGTAAGCCTTTTTCGAATTATATCGAATTAGAACTTGTCAAATTAAAAAATGGAATTAAAATTCGAAAAAATGTAAATGTCCAAACCAGCGATTAAAGGGTATATTTTAAAGACGATGCTTAATCTGAGCTTCAAGTATAATTAATGTCCGAAGAATCAATATCACGTGTGGACTTTCGCGTGTTTTAGATCCGGCGAAGGTCACGTTTACCCCCACTGTTCAATACTTGCCGTTCCGTTTGGCCGGTGTGGTCCAGTGTTACATAAAAGCCAACCCGCCCTTGCAATACGTGACCTGGACCAAGGATAAACGCCTACTCGAGCCTTATCAGACAAAAGACATTGTTATCATGAACAACGGCTCCCTGCTCTTTACACGGGTCAATGAGAATCACCAAGGCAGATATACCTGCACGCCTTATAACGCCCAGGGCACGCAGGGCAGCTCGGGTCCGATGGAGGTCCTCGTACGGAACCCGCCTGTCTTCACCCTTGAGCCGGAACCAGTGTACACGAAGAAGGTCGGAGAAACGGTCGAGATGCACTGCGATGCTCAAGAGGCCGACGGAACGCAGAAACCAACGATACAATGGCATCGGGTATAATTAAGATGCTCGTTTAAATCATTAAGCTAAATTCTCATTATTTTATTTGCATCATTTTTAAATATAGGGGAAACCCGGGCAGTGTGGATATGTTAGGTTTGGGAAGAAAAATGACATAGTTAAAATTAAGATCAGAAACTTTTTTTTATTCTTAAAATTTCATTATAGAATAAACTTTAAAATAAAATTAAATAAAATGAAAAACTTGAACATTTATATGTATTTTAAATAAAAATGTAAAAAAAGAAAAATCATTCGCTTTACCCAACCCCCCTGGGTAAAGCGAATATTACTCGAATAATGAGAATATAATAAAAAAATATCAAAATTAATATTGGCAATCGTCACAAAAGTAGCTGCCAAATCCTCTATATGTTGTGCAGTCTTCATGAGCCCATTTAGTGCACTGATTGCACTGGATCTAGTCTTCGGATGGTTGAATCGATGTATTCTTGAGAACACATCAAACAGAAGTAAAGTACGTTCTCTTAATCATTAACAGACTTTTCTTTTTTAACTCACTTTCTATTTACATCACTACAGCTAAGTCCAGCAGTGATGATGTGCTATTCGTTTTGCCCCCACTCACTTTGCCCAAAGATCCTACTTGGCGCAAATTAGGAAAAATTAGAATAAGTTTCTGCAACAAGTGAAAAATTTTAACCTCTAATGCACGTTTAAAGACAGAGCATTTTTATAAAAATTCATTCACACTGGTTAAGAAACAATTATTGCTAATAATTACGCTATATGTACCTAAGCGAAAATCGTAAGAAAACACACAATTTCGTATATTTGTATATAAAACGTAAACAATCGCAATCATATTGCGTTTTGTATTTTCATAGTGTCGCCGGCCGGTTATTCCTGCAACAGCTAGAGATTCATAGCACCATCTCTGATATAGATAAGCGAAAATAAAAAGTATTCGGTTTATCCATTTTGCCCGGGCTTCCCCTATTTTTTTTTAATTCATCAGTTGTAATAATATTGTTGACAAAATAGACATTTTATAAACATTTAGATATACACTTAAACAAATAGGTGTACTCTAAAAGTGTTGAAGTAAATTTAATATCAAGGGTATTAAATGTAATTCTTATTATGTTGATATTGATACAAATATGTGCAGATTTAAATGTATGGATTATCATAAGTTTGAAATCCCCGCGCCATGTTGGTGTTTATATCAACGTGATAAAAAATACCGTATATCGATACTGCATGATGTTAAATCAATAAATATTTTTTTAAAGAGTACACATTAATCATCAGCAGTTAAGAGACCAATTTCCGACGAGCTGTCTTGTCGCAAGTTTGTAAAATATTTTCAAAATTATCTCAGAGAGATGGCGGACCCATTCAACGCACACGCTCGAAGACTATCGGTGGCAATTTAACCATAGAGAGTCTTCGACGCGCGGATTTCGGGTTTTATCAGTGCGTCGCTTCCAACGAAGTTGCCACCATCTCAGCCTCGACGCAACTGATCGTCGAGGGAACGCAACCCCATGCACCTTACAACGTATCGGGCACTGCCACTCAATTCGCGGTAACACTAATTTGGTTACCAGGCTATTCCGGTGGTCCTGATTACAAGCAAGATTATACTATCTGGTGGGTATACGAGGCTTACAGGTATTACCATTATGAAAGTTCTACGGCGCGTATTATACTTAATTGGCCGAATAACGAGAGATGATAGTCCTTCATATCGCGAATTTTATTTGCATAGCAATTGTTATAACCATCGATATCACTAATAAAATTTTTCAAGACCATTTTGAAAATCTTTTATAATCTTTTTAACGTTATATTGTTTTTTTATTGTTATCTCCGTTCAGGTACAGGGAATCGGGAACTTCGGAATGGAAGACAATCCCCGTGACTCCATCGGGCAGCACAACGGTAACGATCAACAATCTTACGCCTAGCACGCTCTACGAATTTCAAGTAATCGGGAAGAATGCCCTGGGCGAGGGAATGTTGAGTAAAGTCATCACAGTCAGGACGCTCGGTAATAATATAAACTGTGTGTTACATACAAATTATTTTGGCTATTGAAGTTTTTTTACAAATTTCATAAATAAGATTATTTCACATGACTGAGTAGTTATTAATTATATGTATATCTATCAATTAGTAATATTAACTATAGATATTTTTATTCAGTATTAATACTAACCTGAGTAATTTAAATTAAATCAATAAATCGCTAATCATTTATTCGCCGATTAACAAACTAATCTTCACTATCTGTACAAATTTCTTTCTCAATCGTATCTATCGCTGCATTCTCCAAGATGTTAGCCTGCCCCAATCGGCGACTGATCAACCCGCCTCTTCGGATCAAAGTGGTAAGATTTCGAATGAAGTTATTGCTTATAACGCGATTACGGTTTTTAAATGGAATAAACAGTGAAATGTTAAAATGATGAAACCCACGGGTAAAAAATTTGTAATAAAAAAGCGTCGCATTTTACGTGAATCATCTATAAAAAACGTTTATTCTGTCGTAAATTTAAAACGCGTGAAATGCATTTCGTATAGTACAATTTCTTCAAGATGTTAAAATCGACGATTTTGACTGCGCTAGTTTAAATCTGCAAGCTAGCGAAACGCGTTCAGTTGTCGGAATATCTCGGAATATCCGCGAGCCGTGCGATTCACTTCGTAAACTGAGAATGGCATCTCGATGACTGTCGAAGAGAAATTCATACGTGAGGGGTGTCGTTCTCGTCTCACTTTGCTCTGATCCTCTCATCGGGATATCGATCCGAGAGTCGAAAAGTCGCGCGACTTCTTCGGCTAGAACCGTAAGGTGGAAAAAAAAAAAGAAAAAAGATGGAACAAAAAAGGTAAGAAGAAGGCGACAAGATAAGAGAAGGGAAGGAGGAGAGGCGAGAGGACAGCGAATGCGGATGCGGAATGAGGCGAGGAGCGGAGAAAACCGAGAAAAAGGGATGGAGGGAAGGAACGGAGACTTCCGTGGCGACTTATCGTATCGGAAAACCCATCGAGCCGTTCATTCTGCTTCCGCTTTTATTTCCTTCCCTCGAATCCACCGGTTCATTGCCTTCCATTTGTACACACCATACCTCGAGCATCCCCGATACCGGCAGCTAGGGATTTCTATCTGGTTACCTTTCAAGCGTTTCTTTCGCCTATCTGACTCTTTTCTCGTTATACCTTTTTCTCATTGTAGCGCTTTTTCGCTCCTTACGTTTGTACCCCACGCACAAGTCTGCATCATCATTGGTTTCGCTCGTTAGCCTACGCCGACAAAGAGCCGGCTTCAACAACGCTGGTTAACCACGAGAGGGTTAACTAAATTTTCTTTTTCTGTACCTCTACTACTTTCTATACGAAGCATACTAAAACTCATGTTTCACAAAAATCCTCTATCTTTCGAGAGTCCATCTTTTTCAACGAACATTTATATACATTTATAATAAAATTTATATACATTTTGGCAGCACAATTTATGCCCAAGTTTTATGTTACAATTTTATTCAAGAATAAATTAACGAATAAAATTTGCAAAGACATCTCTTGGTTTGTTACTCACTTTGACATATTTGTGAAAGAAAAATTAAATTTTTAATTTTTAAAATTTAATTAAAAAAATCCCTTACAGTGCATAGAGATATGAAATTTTGAATAATCTATATTATGTTCCACATTACGATTCCAAGCAGAGTAGAATTAATTGACGTTGAGTTAAACAGACACTATGAGTGGAGTTAATTGGCATTGATGGAACCAACCTTAATACAATTAGCAGAGAATTTCAATGGTTCGCTTAGATTTCATTTAAAAGAACCTGAAAATAAATCATCACTTATTTGGCAACCTTACGAAAACTTTTCAATTGATAAATGATAATTTATTTACTTTTTAAACAATTTAATTTTGTTTCTTTTTAGTTTTGCTTCATTTCTTTAAGTTTTCCTATTACTTTTTTTCATTTCAGACATCGTTGATTACAATACCCTCGTATTACCAACTGATTCCTCAGGAAACCCCGCATTTCCGCCAATCATACGACCGAAAGGTATATATTTTAATTCTTTCTTTATTTATTATATATTTTACATATTTAATGGAGTTCATAAAATATAAATATATCTAATTCTTAATATTTTCTATATTAGAGAGACAACAATATTGTCGAATGGCTATTATATGATTTTATTAGAATGTCCGAAAATGTTCGTCGTCGCTTTCACACCACCCACACATTATTTACAATCGATGTGACCACGAGAGTCGATTGACACACAATCGTCAATCTCCATCTCTTTCTATCTCGCAGAATCTTTTGTAGGAATCTTTCGCGCTGCTGAAAACGGCGAAAAATCCATTCTTTCATCCAAGAATGTCTTTCGTTTCGCTTGAAGGGAATTAACCGCTATTACATGCTGTGGTGGACATGAAAATAAGTGTCAAGCAGTCCGACAAGGCAATAAGAATGAAACGCGTGTTCGCGCACACTCACGCTCGCATACAGTTCGGCATACCGCGAGGAAGATACAGAGGAAAATAAAAACGAAATCCTCTTAGCCGCGGCGTACCGGAGAGAGCTAGACGGGAGGCATTCCAAGAGGGAGAGCAGGAAATAACATCATACATTTTGCACGTAGCAGACGGTTCCAAACAATCTACTCCGCTTTGGAGCTGAATAAACCCAAGAAAGTTTTAGTTGCCTCTCTCGCGAGTCGAGTTTCAATCATATTCGGATCGTCGGGCAGAATAGTGATGCGAAAAAAAAAAGGAGAGAGAATAGCAATACAATTTCAGAGCATCCAGCAATTTTTATACGTAATTACATTGAAGTGAAAACTTTATATTATAATTTGTATTTTTTCGCACAGTAGCTTTAGTAGATATTCATTTGTTTAATATAATGCATTGTGTGTATTTTTTAATAAAATTTTTATGAATGTAATCCTCGACTATGTTCCTCTATAGGAATATTAACTATTATATTTACGCAGAACTAATAAAATATAAAATCCTCGCCTGTGGCTCGGTAGAAGCGAAAAAAAGGCTCATAATGGACATTTTGGAGAAGAGAAAGAAAATAACTTCATACATTTTATACACAAAGCAAATATTCGAAACAATACAAGTCGCTAATTTTGCAATTTTGTAGCCAAACCAAGCTATCTATTTGTCGGGGTTATTTTCAATTTTTTCACGTCAATTTCGTATGGTTGCATGGTTATGTCACGAAAAACCAAAAAGGTTCGTTACTATTAAAATTATCCAAACGCTACAATTTATTTTGCGTACCTGCACAATAAAGATGAGTTTTTTTTGCGAAAATAATTTGCCATATTTATTTCTTCATTCCTACACACATCAAAGAGAATGAAAATCAATTTACGTACCGAGATAATTTCGAACGTTTTCTTTTGATTTTAAAAATTCGACTCAATTTTGCTGGCTTGATAGATTGATCAATTTTGAATGGCATTGCGTCTTTCAAATCACCAATATATAGAAAATTCACCGACTTCGATAAACTTGTCTAGTGTTTTATCATCCGACTAATAACTAAGAAAATTCATCGTTTGCGTAGTCAACAGATGAAATAAACAAGTAAAAGAGTTTTTATGTTTACCGATCGTAATTTGCAAAAAGAATGAATTAATTTCGTAAATTCTGTCGAAGTATATTTTCCAGAATAGTAACTGTTAAATTGATACGAGAGAAATAGGAAAATAGTACGAGATATTTGCTTTGTTGGAATAAAATTGTGGAGCACAGATTGGGTGAATCAGAATATAATGGAACATAAACAAAAAAAAAAAGAAACTGAGAGCCAAATCAAATACTTGCACCTCTCTGTGCGAATTATTATTCGTGTAGTGCGAGCAGTTTTCTATTTTAACACATCTTTTTTTTCTATTACAATTACGTGTTGTAATACGTAGTATGAAATCATGCTATTGCTACAAAAGAAATGGTGCCACTCAGACGTTAATAAGGTCAACGCGTGTACGCCGGAAGTAATTAGGTCGAGTAACATTAGATGTGTAAGAAGTGATGAAAGAAGCTGATCTCATGCCCGACTAATCCAATTAACAAGTTGCCTCAATAATCATTTCATTCCGATCTAATGACTTCGCATTCAATGACTGGAATACATGCTAATTTATTCATATATATTTTACTCTCTTTTTACTTTTTTGTCGTTTATATTATACTAAATACTTGTATATTACACATTACGCGAAAGAAATAATCTACGCACGTCAATCTCGTTTTGAATCTCGTAGCGTGTCGATAATTTATTGAAGACGTTCATAATCGTCATATATATAAAAATAATGAATATTTAAAATCTCTGTCTTTAAAAGGACATAGTTGATCCATCATGTTTATATCAGCATATTTGCTCATATCAGCCAATGTAAAGAATTATTTTCCTTTTTTTTATGTAAGCGATATATCGCAGTCGACCCAAATACGTGACGATGAAAAAAGTCAGACATACAACTCGATGGTGCGATGGATTTGATAGATGCGAAAATGTCGCTGCGGTCGGAACGGCGTTAACGTTTTCATCAAAAAAAGCTTTCCTCTGGCACTGTAACTCGGTGCATCACCGAAATTATTCTGGAATTACGACAACAACATTTATTTGCTGACACCAAAGAGATTTTTTCCTACGTTAGTTTTTTTTCATTTCGCATATATATATGGCACACGCAAAATTTTAAATCTCTCTCTGCTTTATTACTGAAAGAGAAAAAAATTATTTGTTCGTATTGCAACATTAAAAATACCGAAACGACGTAAAATTGTAAAATTATAAGTACGAGATATATATATTATCTTAGATTGAGTTATTAACTTATTTAATATCATTTCCGATTGACCTAATCGTCACGATTCAAATTGCCAGGACCAAAGCCAAGTTCTCCCCGGAATCTCACGGTGACGGAAATCAGCAACGGTTTCCTGATAACCTGGCAACCTCCTTCGGAAAAAACCCATCTTATCCAATACTATACTATCAAGTACAAGACGGACGGACCTTGGAAAACGCTCAACAAGGGCCAAATACGACCCGAGGAGACCAGTTATTTAGGTGAGATACCTTTCTCTGCCTCAATCTTTCTATCTGTGACGCAATGATTATTATACATAAAATTTCTTACGAGCATCGGACAGGCGTTCAGCACTCTGAGTACGAGTAATTGAAAACACTCATGAACCAATATTATTTATCGAACCCGAGTACGGTTTTTGAGAGAGTACGGCTTTCATGTGATTTCCGTTTAACGCGAACGTCCACAGTGAAGAACCTGGTCGGTGGTAGGACCTACTATTTCCAAGTGTTCGCCAACTCAGCGACGAATTACGGCGCAAGCGACCAGGTGAAGTTTCCCGTGCCGGCTCGTGTTAAGCACAAAGCGATCACCGCAGGCGTTGTGGGCGGCATCCTCTTCTTCCTTGTCGCCATCATCCTCAGCATATGCGCGGTGAAGATATGCAATAAACGGAAGAGACGAAAACAGGAGAAAGGTATGAACGCCCCGTGGCGTTATCGACGTATCGTACAACGATTTGCCCGCAATTCGCTTGGACCTGTGCTCCTGGTTGTGTCGTCTTTATATTGATTTTTGTACGAGAAACAATGTTTTTTCTCAAAAAAGTCTCATGAAACTATAACGCTGTATATAGTAAAAATATTTAATATAATTGTAATTAAACGCTTTCGCTTAATCATTGGGTTCTAAATGTGTATGATTTTAATCTACTAACTGCTAATTAATTGTTTTAATTCGTCATGTCCCCTTGGAATGAAACAATACATAATATAAGTTAGGTAAAGTAAGTTAACTTTTGCAAATATCATGTGTTATTTCTCTTATTTGGTCCGTCCTAGGCTCGCTTATTTTTTAACTTTTTACTAAAAACTTGCTTTGTGATAGCCATTTATATTCAGTGCCCAGGACTGGTCAAAGAGACGGCTACGATTTGGCAACACAGGCACCAGGCATGCACCTGTGAACCTGAACATTCATAGTTAACATAGTTATGTAACATTGTAGAACTGCTTTCAGCGTATAATATGGTGGCCTGCCGGGTCACCGACGCCAGGAACGGCGCAGGGCAGGGGCCCCAGGGAACAGTGCCTTTGAAAAAGTGAGTGTCTATCATCTGATATATCATTATCCCCTCAGGTCCAGGGAATCTTAACTTACAATGCTTTGGAGCATTCTTAAAGGCTCCAATCATACGACAAGTAGACCGAAGGGGTCGCAGCTGCACTAGAAATCTGTTTTATCTGCCAATTTAAATCTGAGATTTGCAAAAATACATAAAATAATTTGAGAAACAACATCTCTTCCAATTTTGTAAATAAATATTTCTTATGATGAAATTTTCCGAGTATAATCCAATATGTAAAGTAATAATTTCGCAACAATCAATAAATGCTTGTAAACGAATTCTGACGGTAGCGCAAATGGATGACAAAGCAGAGTTAAATTGTTTATATATTGATGTCTCTTCAGAGACTGGAGAGGCTATGCGTTTGATTAAGATACGGAATAGGTAGTACAAATATCGAATATCGATTGTGTACCGTCAAAATGCGTCACAAAGTGCAGATGCGACTTTGAAGAAACATATATCACTTAGGTTTAGCCAGAACTAGCGATTAAGTCCACTCCACCCCCTCTTACGAGCAATAGGCGACTGAAGCACCGCAAGCATATATTGACGAAACCTCTCATGAATAATCTTCTAATCAACAGATATTCTCGAACATTCACCTCTAATATAATATACATATAATTACGCAATATATACAATTCAATATTGACATTGGTCTGGATGTATATCTAAATTCATATATACTTCGTATCGCTTTTACGCCAACGACTTTCTTGTGCAACCACATCTTTAATGGTAATTCTTCTTTCGTAATATCAACTTCTCAAATTAATAATACAGCTCGATCATTTTACGAGCTAATCGGAAGTAACGATGACATGCCGTTGTCGTACCAGCGACACGTTTACAAAGACACATACGACCGCAAGACTTAGCGAGACGTACGGAGAGAAATCCATTCTCTCTCCTGCCGTCGCGTCAGCTCGATCCACTTTGACAAAGGACAAGCGTTATCCCTCTGAAACGGGGGATTAAGGAAACGAGGAACGACAGAACCTCTTTTGATCTACTTGCGCCATACATAACACTATGAGCTTCTAGATGTATATATATCTCGTAGCAATTAAACCGGCAGACTAAACCGCAGCAGCAGAGGTATTCTGGACGAGGTTGGAGAAACGATCTTTCGATAATCGATAAGTAATTTACGCAAACACTCCCACGCGCAACACCACGTGCGTGCATGCGTGCACATTTCCATTAGACAAAACGAAAGAATCGGGTTCGCTATGTGCGATCTGGCGCTCCGAATCGAATCGGATTTCGTGGCTCGAATCAAATAACACGCGGCGAATCGTACGCAGCGGATAATTGCGGGTGCGATAACCAATTCGTTTCCCGCATCGAAACTCGTTTTTTTTTTTTTTTTTTTTTCGAGCGATGCGGGAATATACGAAAAGGAACGAGAGTTGCGCGTAAGAGACGGGCACAGCTTTTCGCAAATAAATGAACCGGATCAAATATAACGGCCTCTATTACATTCATTTGGTTTAAAAATCGCAAGAGAAACTCGTGGAACAGCACTGAATGCAAATGCAATTATTTCATTAAATCAATAAAGAATAAGATCTCGTATTTTTTTTTTATACAATCGCAAAATCGCGTGTGATTTGATTCTACCGAGGGAACGAACGCCTCGATTTAGATCGCTGTGATCGCAATTCGCGAGATCTGGAACAAGTACACCCCGAGAAAGGAAACTACGAATGAGAAAATGAAATACACAGACGTGCGATCGTCGTCGTCGCATGTCGTATTTTTCGACGCATCCCGCACGAGAGGAAAAAAAAAAAAGAGTTAAAGGAAAGAGAAAAGAGACGAGCTACGGCGTAGCGCGTGGGGCGTTCGGCTTATTAGTGATTTCACGCCAAGTGGACTGCACGTGTAGTAGCGGATAACGCAATTACGACTCTTGTTATGATTTCCATCGCGGCATCCAAAAGTCCACAATACGACTGCAGTGATGCCTATTCTGGATCGTAACTCGCCATTGATTTCGCGCGACTTCAACGCCGCTTTCTTACCGTACATATTACGTGCGTCTCGTTATTCATTTTCGGCCGATCCTGAACCCGCGACGAATTTCGTAACAATTCATTCGACCCAGTCATGTTCACTATCATTCGTTTTATCAGCTGCACCGTTGCCCTTGCTTGATTCTCTCGAGTGCAATTATTAGCGGTCTTACCGAATTTCAATGCTTCTCGTGTGTGTTGTAGTGGCGCTTATCGTGAGGGTGTTAATAGAGATCCACTCTTTTTTATCCCGTTCCTTCGTGAATTATATTTTTACACGCACAGGCAACATGTTCATGTACTCATGCTTCCACAATACGAACCTCGATCCACAAATCGAACGTATCGAGACCGAGTACGATCGCACGATATCTAATACAGATTTTCTCGTATAGGTTCGAAGCCGATTGCGAAGCCATTCCAAAATGAACTGCACATATATGTAATTATAAGTCAAAACTAATTTCACACAGCCAATGGCGCTGTATTCTCGACTATTGTCTTCTATACATTGTCTAATTTGCGATCAAGCATGCGCTTTTGTAATTGATATATTCGAATATATTATTGATTGTTACCCTCCCTTTTTGTTTCTTTTACCAACAGGCTAGCTCTCTTATATTAATACATTTCAATGTGGGGATATTGTTACCATAATCTAGACTTGATACTGCCTTGCGTGTAACTGTTCTACTGTCTCCAATTCTTCGAACAATTCTGTAAAGTATTTATTTCATGCCTCTATCATGTCTCATCCATCGTCACCCTCATGATAAGTTGAAACATTCAACGTCGTGTAAATTTTCACTGAAAGCGCGGTCGCGTTTGTCGAGAATTATATCGAGAGACATCGATATTGCACGTTTGTACCTACATGTTATATATCCAGAACGGGCTGGACGGTTCAGCCACTGTCAAGAGTCTTTTTCTCTGAGGCCCGCATTCGTGATCACGTGTCTGCGAGCTGTGTGCCGAGTAGAAACAACGATTGCAATTTTCTAATATTGTAACAATGTCGGACACGAGGCATTACAATAATTTCCCCGGGACAGTGATAACCTCGTCTTGAGACCGAAAAATTTTATGAAATTAACATAAGTTAAGGTTTGAACGTAATTTTCTTTCATACGTTAAATAATGCCATGTATTTCTTTTTATGATGATTGCAGTCGGTGTGCTTGTCAGCTAGACAGCTTGAAATATCGATTACGAATACAGGCCTAAATCTCGGTGCTATGTACCTTGGTTACGATCAGAGCAAGGATCAGAAGAGAGCCGACGCGTACTATATAGAATAGCGTCAAGGGTCGTGAGACTTTGGAGAGAAAGGATGCAGGGGGATACTTTGCAAACGTTATCAGTTGAAAAGCGTGAAAGAAAGAAATTGAAAAGAAAAGCGCCGGTAGATAGAGTATAGCCAATCGATCGTAGTCAATAAAGAGATTTCCCCGCCACCTTTCTCTTTATCTTTATTTTGTATTTCTTTCGTCCTGTGTCTCCGACCCTAAATCGATTCTCGTGCAAAACGGCAAACCGTGAGGAAACCGACAAGCAAGTCAAGCCAGCTAAGATAGCCGTTGCAAGAAAAAGAAAAAAAGAACGAAAAAGAAAAAAATGAAAGACAAGACGATAAGAAATCGTGGGCATCTCTTGTCCTCCTCTCTCTCTGTGTTTTCTGTAGGTCGACAAATCTAAACGCGTGCGGCGAGTCAGTCTCGACGCTGACCCGTTGCAGCCCGTTGAATCCGCAACTACCACCACCACCACCACAACCTCTTCATCAATCACCACTTCCTACGCAAGTAACCACCCCCGCCACTGCCACCTCGGAGCCGGTCCACGAGCAGGCCCCCCCGAATCGTGATCGTGACCATCACGCACTCCACCTCGATAATCGAGATTACGAGAGCGTGTTTATCATAGAGAGGCGGAACAGTAAGCCTAACCTCCGCTAGCCACACAGAAAGAAACCAAGTACTACCACTACTACTATTACTACTACTACTGCTACTACTACCACTACCTATTACTGCTACTACTACCGCTACTACCGCTACTATTACTACCACTACTACGTACCCGAGACCACGGTTGCTCCCAAGAACCATGAAAATAAGTCCCGCCGACGGTATACGTATATGTGTTTGTGTGTGTATAAACACGTTGTGTTACCGAGCGGTCCGTCGATCGATCGAACGAACTGTCAGATCGATTTCATTCTCCGTCAGTCGTCGATCCTCCTCGATCGATCGAGCGAGCGAAACGCCAAAATTGCCGGTGGGATACATGCCCGTTACTACTACTACTAGTACTACCACTACTACTCTACCACTACTGCTACTACTACCTACTACTATGCGAGACTACAGCTCTGCAATGTTACCTGCTAGGACCTACTAATCTACTACCACCTACTACTATCTACTACTACTACTTAGGATGATTGTCATGACTGTAGATGAGATCTGCAATACAGGCAAAACAGCTAGGAGTTCACACTAGTAACATCCAGTCAGTACCCTAATACCTTCGTTCGGCGGTCTTAGGGAGTACATAGATAAGGGAGGCAAGGCGGTAGATTTCTTTCTCATTTTTTTTTTTTTTTTAATTCTTTTCTGCCGATCTGCGAAAAACTTTTTGCGATTTCTTCACGTACTATTCTGCATTACACTCACTGTCATCAATATATCGACCCACATTGCTTCTTTTATGTACTATTTCGAGAACCGAGAGGAACTCCCAGCGCAGTGTCCGCCTCTCTGCCAGTCTATTATTGTGCTTTACTCATTTCATTGCTCTTTTATTGCGTGTACATATTTCTTCGCTCTATATAGGATTTATCGTCATACGCGCTTATTATTAAATAAGCATAAATTGTTATTACCTACTTTGACACAATCTATTCATTCTTCAAATTACTGCTTCTTTGTGAAAATCACCATTATGATATACAATTCTTTCCTTTACCAAATTACAAAGTGTTTAACTCATTATCTTTATATTAGTGTTTAATTTCCTTTTTCATCATTAACTGGTAAATTTGCGCCAAGCTCAATATATTCGAGAGGTGCAACATTTATTTAATTATTATTTTTTTCCTTCTCAAAGACATTTTATCTCGGAGAGTGCAGTAACCATTCTAAACAGTTTTCAATGTCTTTTATATGGAAGACATCTATACTTTATTGCTTTCAAACGCTAGCTTTCAGATAGATTGCGCCTATTGAATAATTCAGTAACTTTATTGTGTTCTCTTTGCGATATTTTTAAACTTCTTCATCTCATATAATATGCTTAATATCTTTTTATCGCTAATGTATTCTTTGTCGCATTTGCACTCACTATTTTGCAATTTTTCATATTCAATTTTGATTTATATCTCTATTAACATTAAACTATCATTTGTATATTTCTTTTGCTTTTACAGCGCTCAACATGATTGCAATACTTTCCAAAGTATGTCATACATTTCTTTATACTTTTCTTCTATAAATATTTTCACATATTTACAATTACATTTTAATTATTAATATCTTCCAGATTATTATTATAAATATGAAACTAAGAGGTATATTAATAATGCGTTCATTCGTAATCACATTACTATATCGCTTGACTTCAAAACTTTCACTATGACGACGCTTTCATATTTATCACTTATCTATTCAATTAATTGTTTATTAATTGCCAGATAAATTTGCGGCGACTCGATGTGTTATACATATAATGAATTTTATTCCAATTAATTTATCACGTTGTTTCTTTCGAAATTATTTCTCTATAGAAACTGCTTTGTACTTCATTAAAATAACCATCGAGTTTCCTTATGATAGTTACTTTTCTTAATTTTCTTACATCGCGCAATAAACATTTCTTTTGAATGAATTCTTTTAGCAATCCTTGAATGATTTCTTTTAGCATCTATTAAAAATTACTTCATCAACAGGAAGTTACTGGTGTGTTATACATATGTATAACTTCTCTCACATAAATATTCATGTATAAATTAATTTTCATCTAGCAGAATTTATAATAATTGATATGCTCACAAAGGTTATCCAGTAACTCACTGTATATTTCTAGATCATTTAAATTCAGTTTGATGCATGTTGTTCAATATTACATAACGTTTACAAGGTATCTCTAATTAAAGACGAGTGATAATAATAATATTTAAAGAATCTTTCGAAGCACATCTCACTAATGCAGGGCTTACTATATTGCTTCACACTATATAATCACGTCTTAGCTCGTCACATCACGGTATTAGTCCACAACATTAGTCTTACAAAGAGCAATTATTATTCTCGCAATACGAGTCTCTGTCCATACATACACATCGCATGTGACACGAGCATCGCCTCACATTTCGTCATAGATGCGAAAAACAATATTCGTATGTCCGATAATAGCCGGCTGACGAATTGGCCGTTATATCGAAGAAACGTTTGTCAGAGAAATCGAATAAAATTTCGATTTGTGTGCGACACCAAAGTTTCAGCGGCATACATATGCCACGTCGGGCTGCAACGATTATTGCGGCGCGCACGGCCACGACGGAGCTCTAATTCAAGCTTCTTGTGTTATTTCATTGTTTCCAGTTTATCGATTCTAGATGACCAATAAACAGACAGACACGCTCACGCTTACACGCGAAACACGCGGCAATAAGCAAGGCGGAGATAGGTAAGCCGCGCTCGTTGCGGCCGCGCGAAAACTTATATTCACATATACATATACCCACCGTTGCCGTATCCACTTGTTAATCTTTCACGATGCCTCGTTGCATTATCCCATTCAATCCGTTTAAATTGACGTACACAGTCAAATCTCGATCCTGCCATCCTTAAATCCGACCTAAAATTGATTTTAACGCCAGTCCGCACTTTTATAATTTACTCGACTGCGTCATATAATGTTTGTTCCTATCTTTTCTCTTACAGGATCGAGTGCTCCGAGGAGAATGAATATTAAATAATATATAAAAAAAATTCAATCAAATTATTTAATCGAACTTTGCGACGCTGCTATGTTTACAAGGATTATCTTGTCAAAATGTAAATAACAGTATGTAATATATATCGCAATTACTCACGATTTTTTTTTTTTACTACGAAGCACTCGATCGATTATTCATCACACTTGTGCCTCATTTTTCTACATGTTTCGCTATGTCTGTTATTTGTTATAATATTCTTTCTAAACGGAAGAAAACAGTGTACTGTTCAAAACGTCTTTCGAATCGATGTATTACGATAAAACGCGTCTCCACCGGACACCCATAAGACACTATTTATCTATTTGCTCCCTAACACCACCGCCTAGAAGTAACATTCGGTTATTTAGCGTTATATTTCTTATCATTATCGCTACGATATATTGTTTTTTGTGAATGTAATCGTTGTGTTACAACATTCTCTCTCCCCCATCTTTCCTTGCTGCCGGACCCGAAGGAGGAGAAAAGGTGACGAGTTTCGGAGCACCTAAATCCACAATTGCTATTCACTGATTGAAATCAAAAGAAAGTGCAAAAGAATCGCGCAAAAAAAAAAAAAACTATCTATGAGAACGGAACAAAATTTTGCAAGCAAAAAAAAAGGAAAAGATATACGAGAGAAATATAAAATTCGTTTTGTGAAAATTAAAGAAAAAAAAAGATCCATTCACTGCCGAGGCCAATCTATCCACAACCCACGTCACGCCCGACCACTCGTGCACCGGAATGTGCATGCGCATGCCTTCCCTGCTTGCATCCGTTATTCGTTATTATATACGTACGAGTAATTAATTATTGATAATTATCTTGCCATATTTAACTTGAACATTGGCATTTACGTTACGTTTTGTTCTAGTACTTTATTTAACTTTCGTTCATTAACGTTGCGTGTCTTTTGCCGTTCGTGTTGCACGTATTTGCCGTATCCGAGCGGCCGATGGACCACGTCGGAGGAAGAAGCGAATAATCTCAGAAGTATTTGTTTTAAACGATTTCAATCAATTAATAGTTCCGCGTTTCATAAATAAATTCGTAGTGAATACCGAAATTTCTCCAAATTTTATATCAAAAGGAAATAAAAACGTACTAGAAATAAAAAAGAATGAAAAATTCTTATATGTATTTATCATAGTAAAAATAACTTGTAGCAATAACGTCAACATTCAATAATCATCAATATACGTCTCTGTCATTTAACAAATACGTTTAAATTCGCAATATAACCAAAACTATTCTCATTTTGGAGAAATTTCAGTATTATGATACCGCGATAGATACCGCGTGAATGTTGTACGCCAACATGATCCTCCGACGATCTCGATCGGACCGTGCCTGCCAATCACCACCACCATGATTTCTCTAACGCTACTTTTGTCCTGTAGACCTAGAAAAAGCCGAGTACCAGGTTTAAGCCTTCTGAAGGAGATCCTGAGCCCGGATACCCCAGACTCGTGCCGCTGTCGTCCGCTGGGCAAAATCTCCCGGGCGGCCGACGGCCGCTTCGTCGTGGCGGACTCGGTTATCAGCTCGGCCAACAACAGCATCCTGGACGTTTCCAGCAGCGACGACGGTGGTTTCCTGCCAAAGCAACGGCTTAAATCTTCGTGGCGACGCCCTCTGGTTGGCATCAGTCAGCTCAGTCTGAGATCCGACGGTAGCGGTGTGTCCATAGGTCCCCTGCCATCAAGCTACCACCATGGCGTTGTAAATCCTTTGGCGAGGATACCGCCTGCGAATGTTTGTACGATCACGTCACCTAGATTCCTGGCCAGTTCGCCGAGTGGGGCTCAGGTCCCCTGGACGCCTTTGTACTTCAGCGATCTCAGCTCTGTCAAACAACCATCCTCTGGCGAACGTTCCTTCCCGACGCCGCCCGGCTATCTCCAACTTCGCAGCGTCCACCAACGATATAGCCAGGAGTTACCGTCGCTTAAGGCGATCCATGCCGAGTCGAGGCGGTTTGTACCGGTTCAGCCGTTAGCGACATCTTCACCACCGCAGCCGGCTGGACGACCCAGGGCAAGATTGCCACCAAGACACGCCAGGCACGCCAGATCGGCACCGGAACTCGCTGCCTCGCCCGACCTGGAAACCTCGCCTGAGAGTAGATCAAGCAGTTCGGGTTTCGGCAGTAAGAATACCTCGCAGCAGAATCAGAGCTCAAGAAGCGGTAGTACGGTCGCTGAATGGAGACCACCGCCTTATAGGCCACCCCCACCGCCGTTAGTGGGTCGCTGGCTTGAACTTCAAAATCAGACCAAGGTGGGACACACGCACATACAAAATGCCGTGGACGCCGGCAGCGTTGACGGCCACTACGAGTTCGATCCGGTGTCGTGCACGCCGACACCAACATCGGCCTCGACGCCTACGCGGGAGGAGAGACCGCCGATGCATCAGATCCATACGATCCATGTTCCCCACATCCATCAAGTGCACACGGTACATCAACAAGCGCCGAGGTATAGCAGAGAGAACATAGAGGCCCGAGTACAGGCGATGAAGGCGGAATTTCATCAGTTTCGGCAGAGACAGGCGAGAAGACGACAAAGCGAGCACTTGGAAAGTGCATGTTGAAAAATTTGAAGGAGGTCTTGACGATCGACCAACGATTCCTCATTAGGGTCGCTGCACCGCAAGTTTAACGATTGAGTTGAAACGATTCGAATGGTTGCAGAGGTTAAATACATAATGTGTGAGACGAAAGTAACTCTCAAGAGAACAGCTAAGAGAAATCTCAGAGGAAGCTAGTTCGTTTGCAATTAGATTTTGGTACTGGCTTTCGACTACCGTAGAAAATCGCGCGTTTCAACACGGCGACGACAACGTGATCATCACCGCAGACCAATCACAACGCAGCACAACGAGGATCATCATCACACGTGATTCCACATTTAGAGGAGTTTAAGTCAATTCTAGTAGCTGGTCATCCCATCTACAAAAGAAGGCTGTTATAAGCATCAGCTCAGGATACATAAGTTTCGCACGACCACGAGACGGGAGCGATGTAGTAGAACTATACGTTAAGACGATAATCTTTCGGAGTTTCGCTCGTTTTACCGATTAAGAAGACCGTCAAGTATCCTATGCGGGGAGGGGGGGGGAACAATCTCGATATCATTTACTCGGGGGGGGGGCTAATAACCCGGCGACGCCGATCGCGCTGGGACGATAATAGAAACGAAGTGCGTAAACGAAAATGTTCGAATCCGATAATTATTGGTCATATCCCGCGTACACCAACCACGCCTATGTCCGGTTTAGAGGACCGTGATTTTTAACGTTACTATATATAATAATGTAGAGGAACATACGGAAGAATTCACGGGGGACGAATAGGGAGAAGACGCTCTTTTTTTTAAAATTCAGTGAAACTGTCCTTAGAGCTAGAGAGTGCGCAGAAGAGAATGAGATACACGCCCGATTGGCTCAAAGGGATGCTAAACTGTATCGAAATTGTCCCGTATCGCGATCGGGACGGAAGATGACGAGAAGGAAAGATAGAAAAGCAAAAGAATGGAAATAGTTACGTCGGCATGATACTCCAAAGAAACTGTACCACTGTACATGCTCCGCGTATACCTTTTAAATATAAGATTAAATTTAATCGTACGCTGTAAGTAATAATTAAAAACGAAAGCAAAACAAAAAAGTAAGATAATCGAAGAATTACCATACACATACTCACATATACACGCATACACACAGCATACACACACACAAACACACATACACGTACAACACACATAAAATAATTATATCGATGAGCAATGGACTCGAAACGTGATATTAGGCCGAAGCTTGCCTCGAGATTGCTTAAGGACTCACTCGTACTGCACTGCCTGTTTAGGGTTTCGCTAGCGACCCAACATATTATCGGCACAATAATTTTTCTTAAGCAACGTAAAAACGAGAAAATAAGAATAACGTTCTTCGAATCTACACGCGTTCGGCCAGTATAGCACGACGATTGTGTGTGTACGTTCACTACGTGTTGATAACACGCTGATTTACCGCCTATCAGCACTCCGGTCGTTCACCGGTCATCCTTCTTGAATTAGATTAGTGACGCGAGCACGCGCATTGACGACGAACGATGTCAATCGGACTCTTAAAAAAAAAAAAAGAACAATGAGAATCATTAGAAAAAAAAATCTTTCAACTGCCAATGAAAAATAGGTCCGACAGTGCATTCGATTCATTTCGTACGAAGCGTTGACGTTGATTAAATAACTAGTGTAATTAAGTGGAGAAGGACAACCGATAGAGACGTACCGCCGGAAGGCAGGTGCACGTGCACACACACACGCTGATCAAGCCGAAGTTCATATGTAATTAGAGAGACGAAGGAGTTAATAAAACACGAAAGCGTACACACCATACACACATGACAGACACACAAGAGATACGTACACTCACAAGCAGCAGACAGAGAACACACAGACGCGCACGTAATACAAGAGAGGCGTTCTTCGAAACCCACCTAATTCTCACCAAACGCATCGGATCATCTTGAATCACGTGAGATCGAAGGCCGGCAATCGCCGATCGCGGGGGGTTCTCGGGCGAATCTACGGGCTAATCATTATCGAGCTGCGCGACCTAACACGAGAACATATATACTCCGACGAAGGGGTTAACCTGCAGCGGCGCGCTCGTTTTCCCTCTTACACTTTTTTTCTAATTTTCTCTACACGTGCGACCGTAAAGACACCCCACGTGGGATCGGCCCGGCCCGCGACTCCCGGCGTTTTACTTTCTTTATAGTACAAACACTTATTTATACATACGTACGTATATTATACATATTTATTATAAATATTAGCAAGGGCCCTACTCACGATTCAACTATACTTCGACGAACCATAACGGCGAGAGGAAGAGGAAGAAGATGCGTAACAAGAAGCGGCGTGGACGCCACCAAAACGCTCTATACGATTTTTGTTAAAATATGCATGTATGCGTGTGTAGCGAAGCCGGATTCAAACCGAGCGAATAAACGTGAACAAACACGAATGAACGAGTCTCTTCGATCAAGACCGCGTTCAGGAACTTCACACGGATTTATCCAGGTATTTTATCTTTGTTGTTTATTGTTAAACAAAGAATGTTAAACAAAGATAAAGTGATACCTAGGTGCATCCTTTATAATATTGCGATACCATTTGTATTCATCGACATTGTTCATTCGTGTATTTCATGTTTGATCACAATCGTCTGCTCGGCTCGGATCTAACTTGACGTGCGAGGAAAGATGAACGTGCGAGAATACGTGGACGAGTGAATGAAGTAAGAACGAAAGTAGACTAACGATAAAGTCGGATCTAGACCGAGTAAACGAGCGCGAACAAACGTGAATGAACAACTTGTTTCCAACGAACCGACGTTACGAGCGTACTGGCAATGTCATTCGCGGTTATTGAAGCAAGTTGTTCATTCACGTTTGTCCGCGCTCATTTACTCGATCTGTATGCGGTTTTACACGTGAGTAAATGCGGTTGTTAAGACAAAATAGAGAGCATATAATGTAACATACACGATCACGCAGATAACAAAAGAATAAAAAAAGGCATACGATAAAAGTTAAGAAATAACGGAGGTGACACGAAAGAGTACCAATATTCTAAAGTAATTCTAATGGTTGAATTAATAATTTGATAATTAATTGATATTGTAAATTGTAAACGACGTAGCGTGTAGCGTATTAATCAACGAGAGCGACGAACGCGACGAGTATTTATTAATTAATTATTATATCCGGGCGGGAGTATTACGATGTGAGATAAATATGTGGAAGGACGGGGGAGGAGGTGCTGAAGGACTCGCGCCGGCAGAATGGTACCAATTTTTATCGTCAATCGCGTAAAATCGTTTAATATGTTACTAGCGATAAAAACGTATTGGATGCATGTGAGATGTATGTAATGCTGAGGATGTAAAAGAGAACAAATCTCTGTCGAATCAACGTTCGCTGTAGACGTTGGAAAAACGCTCTTGACAACGTGATCATAATACATGTTTCGTAATCATATATTATACATGAGAAACACCGTCTCCCCCTTCTGGATGGATGTAGCAAAAGGAAGAATCATGTACGCGAGAGCAGGTGATCTAACCAACTGATTTGTAGATGTATAAGTAACGTGTAGATATATCATAGTTAGATACAACGATCTCAAGAGGTCACGCAGTGTGGATGAGCGTGCGAAAATGAGATGGAGAGAGAGAGAGAGAGAGAGAGAGAGAGAGAGAGAGAGAGAGAGAGAGAGAGAATGAAAGAAAATGTGAGAATAAAGGAAGAAAGATATAGGAAGTAAATAAAAATAATAAGACTAAAAGAGAAAATCTTGAACGATTCTCCGCATTATCTTTAAGTTTATCACGCAGTGCGAAAAGTTCATATATGATAAAACAAATATGTTTATAACGTATCTAAAATACGAAATAGGGAGATCTAGAAAATCATAAGGGTATAAAAGAAGGCACTGTATGATTGTGAGGAGAGAGAGAGAGAGAGAGAGAGAGAGAGAGAGAGAGAGAGAGAGTGTGTGTGTGTGTGTGTGTGTGTGTGTGTGTGTGTGTGTGTGTGTGTGTGAGCGAGAAAGGAAAATGAAAGAGAAATGTGATTCGCTTAAAACGGCATATTTCTGGATAATATGGTTGAATCGTGAATCCGTTTGTAAAACTTTATCACTCGTCGCGACGGTTTCGTTCATCCTGAGTTCCTTCTTCGCGACTCGTGTGAATTTACATTTATCATTATCATTGCGCACTTTTTTTTGTTTGCGATACTCGTCGTTGTATTTTCGCCGCGCTGTCACATACGCGTGTAACCCGCACAAGGCCGCTCGCGGCCGTCGTGATTAATGGATTAATTAATTAATTAAGCGTGTTTCGTTCATTATATACGTACCTGAAAGCCAGTCGTGGTTTCGGCTCATTGCCCGAAATCGCTCGAGCGAAATTCGTAAGCCCTCGAAGCAGGACGTTCGCGATTTTGAAGAGTCGGCGATTTTTGGCATCGCGCGGATTATGTGCAGCTTCATTCGTCACGCGGCCGGAAACGTACGCTTATTTCGCTTATTAATGAGTTCTTGTATAAATTGTAGATAGCCATAAAAATATATTACGTAAATACATAAATCGCGGAAGCTGTAGATATTATATCATATGTACGAGAGGCAAACGCGATGGTGATAATCCGTAATATCGCATAGATAATCGCGTAAAAATTTCACTATTATAGCTCGCGATCTCGTCGTTAAATCGCATGATCGCATTCCCGCGAAACCTTGAAAATATTCTCAGCGTATTTGCAATGATGAGTATATATAGTCGATTCTTCGGCGTATTTAAATTGCAAAGAAGCAAATAGCGACGATGCTGCTTCGAGGTAGTGTTCGCGACAAACAATGCGTGAAAGATGATAATTTGACGTAAAATATATGCTAATGCCATACTATTCGCAATACCGATTGGTCGGATATCATGTCCTTCGGTCGATACGAAAGACACGTTTGAGTCGAATTCAATGGCTCTCGGGTACTATCGTTCTGCTTGGATCTGCGACCATCAATACGCGCTATAGCTTGTTTGAGATCTTGTATAACGTGCAATATTTTCTTCCAACAATAAGCATTATCGAATTCCCTTTTGCAATCGAATGGTAGATCTATGCGCTCTCGTAGAACTTGGTATATAGATCGTCGCGGCTCCAAGCACGGCTCTTATCTTCGAGATACTCTCGCATTATTGTACACCGGCACAATTGCTATTGCAATAATATTTGTTGCGCCGAATTGAATTTGAGGAAAAGGGAGAGATTTTCTTTTCTTTTTCCTTTATTCTTTCATTCTACTGTTAATTTGTTTCTTGTTGAGTCATCAAAATGTACCGTCACACTCGTAATCGTTAGTCTTCTCACGCCCGACATCGAATCGCTTTTACACACGCATGTAACGTTCTTCTGTATCGTCTGTATCTTCACTTCCGCTTATTCTCGACTGTATCCACCGTTGGATTTGTACACGGTGCGTTGAACCGTTTCGTTGTCACTTTCGCGAATGCTCGTTGTTCACCTCCATATCCAGTTTGATTGATTGATCTATGCTTTCTCGCGAACCCCCCACGAGAATTCCAAGACGTACTAACTTAGGACAAATTGTAGACAATTTATTATTAAATAAAATGAAAAATAAATCGACATTTGAAACGAAATGAGTAACATTTCCAAGACACATTTGCATTATATTGATTTAGCATTAAACACGTGTGCAACAAATTTCAATACGGCTCCGATGCAGTCATGTCCTTCATAGAATACGAAATAGTGTTGGTTCAGAGGTACGTATAAAAAGACGATATATTAATAATAAATGAGTAAGTATTGGTAACAATTACTATATTGTAATATAATGTTACAAGTGTTTAAATGACACACTAACTAGAGAATTTCTACTCTCTAATAATAATATAGAGTGCAATTGCTAGTCAAGGTAATAAGATCATTTTCAGAATAAGAAAATCGGGTCACCGGACGATCATCATTTGTGTATAAGCATTAAAATCTGCGGCATTCCTTAAAAATGGATTCTATCCGCGCGAATGCCGTAACTAGTTTGTTTTTCAATGATATAAAAATAATTACAAAATAGAAGTACATAAAACAGTTAAAGACGCAAAACAGATTGAGCGATAATATGGTATATATAGAAAACGTGTGATAAGATTAGAAAATCACGGTGCGGCTGTAATTTTCTTGAGAAATCGGATAATTGAATGCTAAATATGTATTTCATGACACACGTGTACGTGAGACGTCTATGGCAGAGATTACTGCAAATTATCGTCGTTTTCATTGTTCCTCTCAGCGTACGCCCAACATGGTTTTATTCTAAAAACTAGAATGAACACTTACGAACGGAAGTTCTTTATCAAAAAGACTTTCCTCGCTTTCTGGTTTCATTTTTATATACTGAATGTCAATTTAAATCTTGATGGAGCTTCATAAATTATTTCTTATGTTTGCCACAGAGGAAAACGTTTTCCATTGCAGAGACGGATCATTCTTCTTATACCTGTTCGCTACGAGTTCGTTTCCCCGGTGAAGAATCATGCGCCTTTGTGATAAAGCACTCGAAAAATTTCCAGCAGCAATTCGATTACTTCCACAGAATGATAAAATATGTTCTTGTTCCTCGTAAATCGTCTTACATCGTAAATCTAACGTAGATCTATCGCGCGGATCCTCAAGGGGTAATATTTTTCTACGAAAATTCTAGAGAATTATTTTCACCTCAAGTCATTGTTATGCCGAATAGATGTTGCTGCGCACAAGAAATAATTGCTTAACCAGGCACAACAAAATGTAAGAATTATCAATTAATCTTTCTAGCATAAATTGTTTTTTTTTTATATTCTGAATCTGCGTTTGCGACCGATTGGAATCGTGAGGCGCAAAGGTTAGTGAACCGCAAAATAGATCATCCCTATTACACATGTACCGTCTCTGTGAAACAGGTATTCCGCAATGGCAGACGTGATCAATTCAGATTACAGACAGGTAAACCAGTAACGAGCCGTTCCCTCTTCTGCGTCGACGATAAAATAATACGGTCGGTATCATTATGCGCACATTTATTTCCAGTGTCCCGGCCAATCCTGGATCGTGATCCATGCGAATGGATCCATTATCTCAACAGCGTGACAAGGCTGTGGGCAGTCTGCTAATGCGGCAAGGGACGGACGTGACGTAATCTGAGGTCACCCACGCACGGCTGCTCCAATGCAGTCTCGTCGTGAGGTTTTGGTAAATGAATCGCATCGGGAATCGATGATCTCGTTGCTCTGCGCGAACAGCATCTCGCCATTGTGATATTTTCCAGCTCGTTTTGATCACAAAGGACTTTTGCAGTAAAGAAATTTTGAAAAATTTACTTTACATAAGAGTCGTGCCATCGAGATACATTTTTAATGTGAATTGTACAAATATTGCAGTTCAATATATTTACAGACGAAACAAATATGCGTTCTCTCTGTTTCAGAATTTTTAATATATTTCTGTCTTATATTTAAGAATAAATTTTAGAAATAAAAATTTTCGTCTATAAAATAATTGCAAATAAAAATCGTTTGCTTCCTTCTTATTATTCTTAACAAGTTTTTTACGAATACATCTTTTGATTAAATATACAAGTCAACAAAAAGGAAAGTCTTAATTACACGAATGCAGAATTTACTATATGGTAAACAAGTCGTAACCGGAAACTAACGTCTTAGCTAAAAGAGCCTCGTAAATGACAATTACGTGACGTAGGCGTATAAATAAAAGAGTTCAAGGGACTTTCCCTGACATCGTGAGAGCTTACGTACTTTCTCTCATCCTCGTATTTAAGCACTTCTTATATACCTACTTCTAAATATTATTCTTCATACATTATTATCTATTAAAATAAAGTCAATAATAATATGTTTCAAGAATATCTATATCTGTTATCTTATAAATAAATAATTGTAACGTTGTTTTTCAATCTAAAATGCGACTTGTGTAAATCGCATCTGCAACCATCGCAAACATCGTCGTTTAAAGAGGATCCGTATATTCAACCGAGTGTAGTGAACTTTTAATCTCTATTTGCTGCCCCACACCGGGCTCAATCCTCTCGAATCAGCTTTGACCAAGAAAGAACAGCGATGAAAGAGCAAGAGTCGGCGACCGAACATAAATTGAATGCAGTTTAATTCTTCCGTTCCCGTTGTAAGAATCCTTTTCGCATGCTTTAGCAACAACACCAAAGATTATACGTCAAAAATATGCCCTGGCAAACAAATCTAATTATCACTCGATCATATCCCTCACGTATACCTTCGAAACCTGCACTGTATGTTAAATGATCATTTGTATTCGTACTTAAACACGACATAAAGATACTCATTTATTACAAGTAGAAATCGCTTCCTGTTCCTACTATTTTTATATCATAAGTAAAACACGGATTCTTATAAGACATTATATGTACCATTATTTCTAGTTTTTTTTTTAGTTTTTCAGAGTTTACGATAAAAATTAAAACGTAAATACTGATTTCACATTGGACAATACACTCGTTTGAGGAAGTATACAGGGGCACGGCAATTGTGCTCTGTGATTCACTACTTGAAACGTTTTTTTTTCCTTTTGTAGGACTAAATTAATCACGTACGATATATAGGTCATGTTTTGTGCAATGCCGTTCATTCGTATCGCTATGGGTGTGTCAAAGTTCGC